ATCCGTCGGTAATCCGTCGGTAATATTTCCGACGGAATTTCCGCCAGAAAAATCCGTCGGTGATGCCCTTTTTTTTAGTAGTGTTGCATGCAATAGCTTCTCTTTGATCGATTAGGGTTCTTGATCGATTAGGGTTCGTGTGTTCTTGGTCGATCACTATTGTTTTGCGATTTGATGTTAAGACTTCTAAGTCTCCTTGAATTCTTAACCGTTTATTAAATAATGATAATCATGATCGTGTAATCGTGTTAAAAGATTTTATGATATCATTTTAATTGTTACCCTTTTAGTTTTAATATTTTTTGAATCTTTTTATATTTTAATTTTAATTTTAAAAATCTTTTAATTTTATATTTTATCACAATATGAGGTTATTGGGTTGTTCTCGCGTTCTCGTAAATCACAAGGGTTCTCGTTTGAACCCTTTCATATATATATATATATATATATATATATATGAGCCTAATCAAATTAGAACTGATTAGTTTATGCTAACTGTGAGGTCCAATCTCAACCACAAATCAACGGATAAATTAGAAAATTAATAATTATGGTAGTTTAAGTTAAAATTATAATTAGAGGGCATATTAGGTATTTTTAAAAAACTCATCTCTCCTATCTCCTCTCTCCTCTCTCATCTCTCCGACCTCCAATCTCCGGCCTCCGGTGAAATCGGTATCCCAGTATATCACAATGGGTATCACGTTGTGTATTACAATGGATATCACATTGTGTATTACAATGGGTATCACATTGTGTATCTTTGTTTTTAAGATTTGAGTTGTATCATAGTTGATATCACAATAGCATCACAGTATAACACGATGGGTATCACATTGTGTATCTTTGTGATTATTTGGTACTTGCCGGATTAATGTTCACCGGAGGCCGGAGATTGGAGGTCGGAGAGATGAGAGAGGAGTTTTTTAAAAATACCTAAAATGTCCTCTAATTATAATTTTAACTCAAATTACCATAATTATTAATTTTCTAATTTATCCGTTGATTTATGGTTGAGATTGGATCTTACAGTTACCACAAACTAATCAGTTTTCCCTTGAATGACCCCCTATATAGACATATATATATACACACACACACACATATATATACATGGACCCTGGCGACCCCAGACCGGCGCCGATGCAACCTTGTCCAACAACTCTCTCCATCTTGTTCTCTACTTTGGAGAAACATAAGGTAAATTCTCACAAGTTTGATGTTGTTGGTTGGCAGGAATAGAACCCCATTCATACTTACGTGAAGCCTCCAACCCAATGTTTACGTCCTGAAAACTCTCGACCCAACCCAACTTAAGCAAAACTACAACCCAACTCAACACAAATCATACAAGTCGGGTTGGGTCGGGTTGGGTTGGTCAGTTTAAAACTTTGGTACATCATTTTACAATCTACCTAAGCATTTTGTTTAAACGAAGTAAAATCATAATGAGAACATACAAAAAAACGCTAACAAATTAAAAAAAAGTTGAAATTTCATGCAAATAACAAAGTAAAATTGCAATTGAAATTGTAATATAATTTTAAATATAGCTAAACTACAGGTTGGTCTTTGGTCTAGTGGACATATATTAATCAAAGACTTAACAATCATATTAATCCGTACTACATAAAGGCATTGAGTTCATCAGGTTGGGTTCAAATTATCTTAACCCAATAAATGTAGTTTGAGATAATTTTATTTCAACTATGTGTCAGATTACCTTGGTTTGAATTTATTTAGTTTTTTCAGATTAAGTTGACCGGGTTTAGCATCCCACTTTTGGTATTAAGTAAAATAAATCAAACAACAATTTTCATGCAATCATACTCAAATCCTAATTTACCATGTTATTTCATATCTATAATGTCTTTTACCTCTAAACCAGTTGTCATATAATGTTGTATTTTAAAATATGAAATTTTATACAAAAAGTTGTATAAATAATAATAATCATAGGAAAAATTCTCCAAATGTCAAAAGTATCAGGATCTCATAGGTTTAAATCCAAGAAGGAATAAAAATTCCTTTGTGGCCACAGAGGTTCAAATACGGTGACTCCGGGCTATCTGCAAAGCAGACGGTCGCTCTGTGATTAGTCGGCTCGCATACCGGTTTGGATATCCAGGTTAGTAAAAAAAAATCATAGGAAAAAAGCTTCAAAATTTATTCACTAAACATAATAATCATGTTTTAAAACAAGTAATTTGATATCAACTTCTTACATTGTATTTTTGTTATAATTTAATTAATATCAGCCAACTTTTTCACAATATTAACGTTTTGAAAAACGAGCTATATAAAGTGATTCTCATGAACCACCATAATCCACGAAAGTAAAAGAAACGAGAAACAAACAAAATACATGTTTCTAGCTTCGTCCCATGTCACATTTTTCTTCTCATGGTTTTCAATCATCAAAACTCGTATAAGAGCATTTGATAATTAAGGTTGCGTTTAATATATGGGAAAGAATATGACAAGACAGAACAAAGTTATTGTCTCATATTTAACACGACATGGGACAAGACAAAGATTTTCCATGTCCCATGTCTGACGTGACATGGGATATGACAAAAACTCATTGTCTCACGTTTGATGGACATGAAACCAGAAGAACTCAGTACCTCACGTTTGATGCGATATGAGACAAGACAATAACTTATAAATATATAACAAATAAATATCTGACAACAAAGATTCAACTGGTCGACATGTGATGTATATGGTTTTGAACCTCATTCAAGCATGGACACATGGTTTTGGGGATCTAAAATTCATCATTTAGACAGGTTTCAAAAGCTTATTTTCGATCTATAAAATGGAAAAACATATATCAAATACAATATAATATATGAAATTTGATTTAATAATATAAAAATTTTAAATATGTAACCGGCGAAATTCATGGCAAAGACGACACTTGAAACCCTAAACACCTGATTTCATGTACAAGTCCCGATGTAGATATCTACGGTTTACTAGAGAATCAGGAGACGGCGGCTATGGGTGGGGAAGATTGATGGTCCATCGTTTTCAACGACGGTACGGTAGAGGATCGCGGAGGCGATAACGGCAACCTCGCCGAGAAATCCTTGAGGGGAGTATCCTCCTCAAGGTTCATGCCGGAATCCTCTTCGAAATTGAGCGCGTAGCTGAGAGGATCGTACCTGAAATCGGCAGAGGAGCGGCGGCGACGGTGGTTTTGTTTGCCATTACTGCAGCCAATCTGTCCGAAGATGTTACGGCACTTGTGTTTGATCTCCGGAAGATCAAGGGTCGCTCGGGATCTAATCCACTGCGACGATGCACCGACAAGAAACAGAGGACGTTTGCTGTTATCGCTGCCGGAGGATGTTGATTCGGAGTGTAGGTTTTGACGGTGGTTCGTCGGAAAACAACAGGAGAAGCAGAGGGATTGTTTGATCTTATCTTTTAGGGAAAATTTGCGGGCGTCGTCCATTTGCGTGCGGCGGAGTTCGTATGGCCGAGTGAGAGAGGATGATTTATGGAAATATCAAGGTGGCGACAAAGGAAAAGCTTTCTGTAAATTACAAATGTGGTCCTCAACTTATACTTAACTTGCATATTTGGTCCCTATATACATCTTTTGTACCAATTTTTTATTATTAACTTGGATATTCAACCCATTATGCGAGCCGACTAATTCCAGAACGACCACTTGCTTTGCAGTAGCCGAAGTCACCACATTTGAATCTCCATGGCCACACGGGGATTTTTGTTTCTTCTTGAATTTGAACCTAAGACTTTTCAGGCACCTTTGTGTCCAAATTGTAAAAAACTGAAATTGATAAAATAATATTAAGACGACTATGATACTTATTTTTGTATCCTGCCGACAACATTAAGTTTCGATGTTAATACTATAAAAGTTATGGCTAAATCCACGTAGTGTTATGCTCTTTGAAATAAATGGTTTAACTTCTTTTTTCCCATATCAGATTACCTTATTTGCATATTACCAACTTTCTAACATTAATACATTATCGAAAAGGTTAATCTCTAATAAATATCAGTACTTTTTAACAATCATGGTATTAATTATCTTTAGTCTACATTTGCATCTCTTATGGATAATTTTTTTTGTCTTAATCAACAAATACAACCATTTATGTACTTTTAGTCTTTCACCATGCTAAAACACCAACTCATTTTCATCTTGAACCTGATTGGTTTGAGCTTGGACTCCAAAAATTAAAATTGTCTGAAGGTCTCAGGTTCAAATCCATGGAGAAATAAAAATCTCTTTGTGGCTATAGAGATTTAAAAGCGGTGACTCCGGGCTATCCGCAAAACAGGTAGTAGTATTGTGATTAGTCGTCTCACATAGTGAGTTGGATATCCAAGTTAATAAATAAAATACATATATTTTGAGGGGTTAAATTTGACAATTGACTAATCTTATTTTAATAACATATACATACTTGAGTAAACTACAATTTTAGTCTATCTGGTTTAAACAAAACTCTAAAAATCATCCTTTAACCTGTAATCTATATTATATTATAAAACAGTTAGATAAAAACTTTTAAAAACTATTTTTTATGCACGGAGTACTGTTTATTGATGCATATTACTTAAAATTTAAAATTACAAGTAAATTGTGCAGTACAACATATTAAAGCTCCATATTTGAATTCGTGTAACTAACTGCCGATCAACATAATCAAATATTGAATAAACATCTCATATAAAATATAAAAAATCTATAATATAATTAGGATAACCGTTGAGTTATAAAAGAATATTTAGTTATTATCTTTATAAAAAAATATTATTAAACTTAAATTAAATTTCTTTGTTACTAAACCTAAATTAAATTATAATTAAAAACGTTGAATTAAGGAAATTACACCAAAACACAAAAACTTTTAAAAAGATCAATCTGATATTGATATCGATATATTTTTTTCAAAAATTTATGATATTTTCAAATTTATATTTTATTCAAAAATAAAAAATTAGCGTTTTATCAAAACCACATAAAACTATATTATATTGCCATAAAAAAATAAAACGAAACACTAAAATCAAAATATGTCTTGATACATTACACGAGTAACCTTCTAATAAGTATAGAAATAGTCATTATTGTTGTTGATTTTTCTTTGAAAGTAGTCACTAACTCTAAGTATGTTTAAAATTGTTTATTTAATAATGGATGTTTTAGTCTTTCCCTAATTTTCTTTTAATAAGTTAAAAGATGTTATACTATATTATATTATATAGAGAGAGAGAGAGAATTTGTTTCAAATACAACCCGTCGCATTTGTATAACTAATGCAACCCAATAAATTGAGATATTTATGGAAATGATGAGAGTTTATTTATTACGATTTGAATATTTATAGAAGATGAATATTGTTTATTAATTATGATCAATATTTTATATTAGTAAACAATCAAAACTTCTATGAAATCGTATATTAATCAAATGAAATGGACGGTTGAGATTGAGTTGTATTGATTGCACAAATGTCAAGGGTTGTATAATTACCAACCTCTCTCTCTCTCTCTCTCTCTATATATATATATATATATATAGAGAGAGAGAGAGAGAGTTCGTTTCAAATACAATCCATCGCATTTGTACAACCAATGCAACCCAATAACTTGAGATATTTATGAAAATGATGAGAGTTCATTTATTATGATTTGAATATTTATGGAAGATGAATATGGTTAATTAATTATGATCAATACTTTATATTATGAAACAATCAAAGCTTCTATGAAATCACATATTAATCAAATGAAATGGATGGTTGAGATTGGGTTGTATTAGTTGCACAAATGTCAAGGGTTGTATAATAACCAACCCCTATATATAAATATATATATATATATATAGGTGTGTTCAAATAAAAATCACTCAATTTGTAAAAACCGTGAAAACCTCATTCAATCAATTATAATTTTTCATTTTGTTGATTTTTTTTGTAATTATGAAAGGTTGATTAACCATTTTTATTATGGAGGGTGTTAATCATGGATATTATCATCTTCATTATTTTAATTTTAGATAAATACATGAAACAGTTTCATTAAAATTTTATTAAGTAGTAAATGAAACAATTTCATAACCACATATGAAACAACTTCATCAAAAAAGTATTATATGAAACAATTTCACAAGATTAACAATTTCATAAAAAAATTTCATAAGATTAACGACGGATGAGAGTAGTTTTTACAGTTTTTACAAATTAGAGTGGTTTTCATTTGATCGCTCATATATATATATATATATATATATATATATATATATATTCTAAATGATTTGTAAACCATATAAACCATTATCAACCGTACATCTAAGCTAATATATATATGATTCCATAAATATCTTGAACTATTGTTATTTTTCATAAATATCTCAATTATTTTGTTTGTGTGATTCGTAGGAGGTCTGCAATTGATTGGACTTTACTTATTATTATTACTAGAAGAGTACTCGTACAATGCAGCAAGATACATCTCGATTATATTGTTTCATTTTATTTTTTGTCTATTGATATAATACAGTTTTATATGGTTTTGAGAAAGTGATAATGTTTTTATTTTTAATTAAAATATAAATTTAAAGATATTGTAATTAAAATTTTGAAAAAAGAAAATATCGATATTTAATATCAAATTAACTATTTTAAAGTTCTCATTTTCTGTGTAATTTCTTTGATTCAATTTTTTTATTATAATTTAATTTAGGTCTAATCATGAATTAATTTATTTTTGGTTTAATCATATAATTTTTTATAAAGATAATAATTAAATATTTTATTAGTTTAATAACAAATCAATTTATTTTTGGTTTAATAATATAATTTTTTTATAAAGATAATAATTAAGTATTATATTAGAAATCAACGATTATCCTAATTATACTTTAGAATTTTGACATTTAAAATGTGATGTTTATCCTGTATATGATTATGTTTATCTGTAATTAGTTACATAAATTTAAAAATGGAGGTTTAATAAGTTGTACTTATGTACAATTTACTTGTAATCATAAATTTTAATTAATATGCATTAATAAATAATACTTCATGCATAAAAAATGTTTTTTAAGAGTTTTTGTTATATGATTTAAACATACTATAGATTATTATTGTTATTATTATTGTTATACATTCACATATACATATATATGCATAAACGATGCCCTCTTTCCGGTATTCGGTCCATCATTTTTTTAATTATCTTAGAGGTTGTTTGGTTATATCTTAATAGTTCAATTAAGAGACAACTTCTGAATACTTAAGAAGTGAATCTTGTTTGGCAAAAAAAAATCTGTCTCTTAATGGTTCTAAAACACTCTGAATTATTCTGTATCATTGGTCTCCCTTAACCATTAAGCGTCCTATTTCATTGTAAATAATTACCAAACAATTATATTTAACTTTTCACTATATCATGAGAGCCTCTTAATCATTTTGACCACTTAATCCTTCTGCATCAAACTATTCAGCAACTGCCAAACAGCCCCTTAGATGTCAAGTGTGAAACCAGTTCAATTATCACATATCTAAAGGATTTTTCGCCTTTCTTCAATTTATTTACAAATTTAGGTTTCTTGATGAGTTGACAAACCAGTTCCAAAGATTTTCCATCTTCTTCCACCAACCAACTAGATTAGATTTAGGTTTTTGTTTCGATTTTTACGATTTGATCCACCAGATTTAAGATTTTTATGTGATGGTTGTTGTAAGTGCTCGAGTACCAAATCATCAATGAAATGAACAGTGGAATGGTTTATTAGAGTTTCTGAAACACGTACCAAATCATCAATAGAACTTGAATGAACAGAGAAGAACAAAAAGAGTGGCAAAGAGAGAGGAAGCAAGTGGTTGTAGGTGCTTGGTGTGTGTGTGTGTGTGTATGTAACGACTATTCGTAAAAGGACAAACATTCGTCTTAAGTAACAGTACTTTGACAAACACTGTTAAGGTAAGGGACCACTTTCAAAACAAAAACAAATTGTAACGACTATTTTCTATCCTTATTCAAGCACAAAACAATACAGGAGGCCAAAAACGTAAAAGTGTTGTATTAGTTATATTTTATATGACATTTTTGAGTGATTTGCAAGTTTATGTAGCCCCTTTGATCCATACGCTTCATATAGTTTTCTAATCTATGGGTTGGTATGTTTTCTTTGACAAATGTCTAGTTAAGTCATTTTGGTGCTTTATACGAGTTGTTACATGTCTCGGTACAATGACATGTGTTTGAACAACATGGTATAGTGTACTATTAACCACCTATGTATAAAGTAGGCACATTATTGTGGCAAGAATGACTTGTCGCCATCTTGCTTGTGCGATTAGTTCATAATGTCTTCTTTTTTGCTATAATGCGAACATTGTTTGCTACGTGCATGGTGGCCTAGTCCATAACATCTCTATCTTAAATTGTTTGTTGATTACAGGTTCAATGTACAAGTATATATGGTAATGTCCATTTGCCATTTGTTACATTTGTTCGTGTCACATGAGACATATATACATACACGCATATGACTATCTATATGGACGACATTCATGATGTGAATAGATGTCGATTAATCATTTTAGTGATTAAAAAGTCGAATCCTTAACTTGTATTCGTCAATTTATCTGTAATTCATCCAAGAACGATATAATCGAGATGTATCTGAGATGCAAATGCTTATGCCACTTAACTACAAATTATATGTACGTGTGTGGTGCTTGATACTAAGCTCCTCAATTTATGGATCGATGTTAACTAAGCAGCCGTTTACTAAACGCTTATCAGGTAATATTTATGGGATCACTTTACCTTATTGAAAGAACATGACAATGATTGAAAATCGTACCTGGTAGAATTGATAACAAGGACCGAGAGTTTTATTCGGTAAGTGAGAGTGACAACTTTATCCAGTAAGTACTTACTAGATAAAAATGTTTAGTGGATAAATTTTTTACAAAAGTGTTTACTCTTATCGGTAAACGTTTACCGATTAGTGTCAGGTGAACGACACCTATGCTTCTCAAATGCTACCTTGTTTTCTTCTTTTTCATATGTGATGATAAACCTCGGTTTACACTAAACAGCAATTTATCGCAAATCATATAGACTTCTTAATCAACATATACTGACATTTTAAATCATACATAACTTAATGGGAAACCAACCGAATAACCCCCTAAATTATACATTAATCCATCTTTTGCTTAGTTTAAAGTCTATCTATTTAAAGAAAATACATTATGATAACTTGATAAGGGGTATGTTAAAAACATTTTTAATACTAATTATTTTTTCATACACATTAATATTAAGATTTACTTTTTACATTTTTCAATACATAATTTGACATTATTTTAACTAGGGATGACAAAAAAAAAATATAAACCCATATATATATATATATATATATATTGAAAATCGGACTAACAGTGAAGAAAAAACTCAAAACAACGGTAAAAAGTGTAAATTTGGTTAAAGCATTGAAATCAAAGGGTCGAATGTAATTTTTTGATAGATAAAGGGTTGTGTCATAGGTTAACAGGTCCAAACCAGAAAAATATGTTTTGTAAATATGTCAGATTCTGAAATTTGAAAGGAATAGAACGATGTCGAGCTTTGAGGCCTCTTATTAGCTACCTTCGTCAACCAATAAGCTAAAATAATTCCATATTTAAATAGCCAGCATCGTTGTCTTCATTTTCGGTTCAAGTGGTTTCAAGAAAATTGGAGAAATGAGAGAGAAATCGGAGCCTGAAAGTGCTTACCCGAAATCTTGGTTTATCGTCATTTTGCGGTAAAATATTCAACCAAATTTTAAGTTGTTTATACAATTAGCTTTGTTTTTAAGTCCTCTATCCAACCTTAGTAGCTTTATGTCTCAAATTTTAGTTTTGGAGGTCCGATGTAACAGATTTTTGAGTGGCTTTTAAGCTGAAAACTTAAATGAGAAAAACGAGACTATATATTTGACGGTTTTCCTTGATTTTTATTTTCATGATTGTGTAAAATCATTTTCTAGAGTTTTAGCAAAAAGAATCATCGAAAACGGTTGAAAAATGGGGCTAAACGGTATTTCGAAACCGTTGACAGCGAAGGTGTTGTTGCCGGCTTGGACGCTGGTAGTTTGGGTTGGAGCCTTGGCTCGGCCGAATATTTCTTACTGGACTGGACCGGACCTATGAAACTGATGAGTCAAACTGATGAGTCTTCGATATTAAAATGGAAATGGTTGGACGGACCATAGAAATGAAGAAGTCCATTGGGTCTTCTAAACAAACAAGCAAAAATAATTTATATATATATATATATATATCCTAGGAACGATCAAATGCAAACCACTCAATTTGTACAAACCGTGCAAACCGCATTCAACCAATCATAATTTTTCATTTTGTTCATTTTTTTGTAATTATGAGAGGTTAATTAATCATTTTTATTGTGGAGGGTGTTAATCATAGATATT